AAAAATAATTAGTCCATTCTGTTGATGCAATGGATGGAGGATGTTTACTTAGTATCCAAATCATTGTACTTATTAATTTGTTTGATGATATCCCAGAATTCTGATGGATTTTTTGTTTCCAAATTCATTAAGTCATGCAGTAATTTTTCTTTAAACTTATTTCTTCTTCAATTTGACTAATTTTTTGTATCGCTTATTGATACTCATCCTTTGTATTCTCAAGTTTTGATCAAAAGGAAACTTGTCAACAAGTCTGGAAATATCTTTTAGGCATTTTCGGGCATGCGCTAAATCATTATCAAACCATTTTTGTTTATTTTTTCTTTTGTTTTTTCTACTAAGTTTTCTTGATTTAATTGCAGTGAATTTTAAAGCTTTTCAGCTGTGAAATGCATAATATCATTAAAGTCTGATTTTATTGTATTTTACTGTATTGTATTTTATTTCATCCTACTGATTAAACATGTTGACATCATTATTGATTATGGTTTGATGTCCACTGTACATTGTACCTGTAAATGACATATAATGAGATGAATTAATACAATTTCCTGTAATTTCTACACAGAGTATTTATTTAATCAGTTTGTTTGCGAATACAATGTTTTAGAATTATTACAAAAAAGTCTGCCTCTGTATATTCTGAGCCTCGTTTGACACAACTGTCAGCAGGATAAATTGACTTGCACGTAATTTAAAAAAACAAAACTTTCCCATATTTTATATAACAGTATTACTCACACAATTATGTATTGCTCAAGAGGATTGCGTATTATGATTTTCTAAAACTTTCATTTTTTAAGTTATATTTTTCCAATAGTGATTTTTCCCATTATTTCAATCTTAACTGTGGTTCCATGAATTTTTTTGAATGACGTTATAAATTACATATATTTCTTGTCTCAGTTGATTTTTTTCTCACTTAGTTTTTACATTTTATAGTGATTTTTAGATTAGTTATTCTATAAATCGCGATTTCCATAATTTTATTCATTCGTTCTTTCCATTTGTACTGTATTGTCTTCATAATGTTTTATTCAAGATATTTTTTCATAATTTTATTGTATTTTATTTTATCATACTGATTAAATACAATCTTACCAAATTGTCCGCCGAATAGTACATTAATTGTATACATATTCTGTACAAAAAGTATACTTTTTTGAAATTGTGTACATTATTTGTATACAAAATTTATACATACAAGAAAACAGCAGTATATTATTTGTATACACACTTTATACAAATTCATTAATGTATATTTGTTGAATACTAGAAATGTACAGACTTTTTGCATAGGATTCAACGCCTAAATATTGTATAATTTACATATACATAAAATGTACAATATCATGACTAAGAAAATGTATGTTAGAATCATGTCAAAATGAAGTATAATTTATGTATACATTAATTGTACAAATTATTGACTTGGCATCTTGACAAATATTAGTATTATTTATGTATACATAGAATGTACAAAAATTGGACTTAGAATCTGAATAAACTTAACTACGCCCAATAATACAATATATGTATACATAAACTGTACAAAAATATGGAATTTTATATTCAATTAAATTCATAAGAGAGTATAAAAACATTTTAATAGATTAATCACAGGAATACTAAACTATATTTTTGAATGTCAGTAAAATTATATTTTTACTACAGTTTACTGAAAGAATTCAGTCATTATAAGAAGAGTGTATAACACATTTCCCACGAGAGTTGTTTAGAGTTTGCCTAATTTGCATATATTAAAAATTATCCTGTTTTGGATTCTAACATGCCTTATTGCCAATTTTTATGAACTTTTTCTTGATCAATTTAACTAAATTAAAATTTAATTTTCCATTATATATCTAGTTTTGGCATTTTCAGTTGAGGAAAATACAATGAAATAAATCAGTATTACTCTCACCACAATCAGTTTGTTGTACATCCTTGGCTCACATATATGTCAAACAGATACAACATAGGTTGTAAATGAATGTACTATAGTCAGTTAGGTAAGCATAAACAATTGATAAATTGAATTCTAAATGTAAGTATATAGGTAAATACAAATGCATGCTGTTGTGTAATAAGACCACAAATGACACGCATAATGAAGTTGATTTTCATTTTGTTAAATAAATGCTCTATTTATGAATTGAGCTTTGTACAATTTTTGTATACAAAAGTGTTCCAAATATGGGATACTTCTTGTATACAAAAGTACATTTTTTGTACACTATTTGCATAGTATTTGCATACTTTTTGTATACAAATCTGTTCCAAATATAGGGTACTTCTTGTATACAAAAATTATACATAAAATGTACAAATTTATTCAGAATTTGTATACTTTTTGCACACAAAAAGTATACATTTTGTCTAATGAATTTTGGTAATCGATCGATTGACATATAATGAGATGAATTAATAACATTTCCTGTAATTTCTACACAGAGTATTTATTTAATCAGTTTGTTTGCGAATACAACGTTTTAGAATTATTACAAAAAGTCTGCCTCTGTATATTCTGAGCCTCGTTTGACACAACTGTCAGAGGGGGAAATTGACTTGCACGTCATTTTCAAAAAAAAAAAAATTTCCGTATTTTATATACCAATTATGTATTACTCAAGAGGATTGTGTATTTTGTTTTTATGAAACTTTCATTTTTGACTCCCGTGTGCGAAGCACAAAAAGGAAGTCTTTGCAATTAGTGTGTCTGTATGTGTGTATGTGTGTATGTGTGTGTGTGTGTATGTGTGTCCGTCTGTTCCATTGATATCTCAAGAACCATACATCAGTTTTTGATGAAACTTGGTGCATAGATGCTCTGGGCCAATGCGCAGATTTGATTAGGTTTTGGTAAAAATCCATGCATATTAATTACCTAATTTGCATGATAATTAGCTGATTTTTAGCTGTTTCATGACTGTTCCACTGATATCTAAAGAACCACTCATTGGATTTTGATGAAACTTGGCACACAGATGCTCCAAACTAATGTGCAGATTTGATAAGTTTTGGGTAAAAATCTGTGCAATATTAATTACCTAATTTGCATAATGATTAATCAATTTTTGGCTTTTCCACTGATATCTCAAGTACTAATCATCACATTTCAATAAAACTTGGTACATAGATGTCATAGGACACTGCACAAACTGGAAAGTTTTTAGGGTAATATCAGTAGATATTAATTACCTAATTAGCATAATTAATTAATTTTCAGCTTTTGATATTTCAAGTAGTAATTGTCACATTTCAATGAAACTTGGTAC